CTCTGTGTCAAGCATTCTCATTGAGGGTCTTCCTTCACTGCCCCTCCCAGGGTCACATCTCTTCCCAGGGATAATTTCCTCCTGAAAACACGCTCAAAGGAAACCAGTCCTGGGTGGGTGAGCATGAGAGGGCAGGGGGGAAACCAATCCTCACTCTCCTCTCTGGCCTGCCCCCCACCCCTGTGAGCAGACCCTGAGAACCCCACCCTCGCTCAAACCGAGCTCTTATGATCCTCATAGGCAACTGGGCTTCTCACCCGAATGCCTCGGCCCGTGTCACTGAGCAAAAACACGAGAAAAAGCTATCTTTTCTAGGAGAACAAAGTCATTTCATAAAGACTCGGCGGCCTCAATTACACGACGGTGTCGCTCCCAGCCACTTGGGGCACAGACTGAAGGCCTCTTAACAGTGTCACAGGCCTGATCGAGCCGCACTCAACTCTAGTGATTAATTACATGGCTTTGGTATTCCCTTCAGGAAGATAAGCCTCCTCCCGCCCCAGAGCTGAGAGGCTGGAGTGTGGGAAGGTCTGCTAGGAAGCAAACCCCATCGACCTGGAGGGGGCTACCTGCAGAGGTAGCCGAGGTCACCCCAAAAGAGGGATGCATACAAGCCCACAAGGGGTAAGATGCTGGCAGAGACTGAGGGGCACCACTTGGTATTGTCATGATAGCAGTACTTGGCTTTTCAAGAGCCAATGCCCCCCTGGCACAGGCCTGCCCAGCCCTGCTGTCAGCTCCCTGTGCCTCAAACATCCCCCCACACCCTTGCTCTGTGAAGCATGCTGGGCTAGTCCCAGATCAAAGAATCATTCTGAGCCTTTGGGCCTCCATCTGCAGCTGGGACTGAATTTACAACTACAGCTAAGCCACTACTCGCTTGTGCCTGGACAGACCCGCAAGGCTCTCTTCTCAGAGTCACATGGAGCAAGGAGAATCGATGCCTTTGAGTTGCGGTGTTGGGGAAGGAAGAGTGGTGAACATCCCACACGCCACCAAGAGAACAAGCAGGTGTGTCTGGAGGGAAAGTGCAGCCTTGGGGGGAAGGACGGCAAAGCCTTGTCTCACTTGGGCATGCTCTTGGAAGGCGCTGTTCCTTGGAAAGGGGCATCATGCTCGGGAAGGCGGAGGATCAGTGAAGGAGACCCTCAATGAGATGGAGTGACACAGTGACTACAGCAACGGGCTCGAGCATGTCGGAGATGAGGAGGACGGCGCAGGACAGGACAGGGCTCAGGGCTGTTGCTCAGAGGGTTGCTGTGAGTCACACTCAACTCGAAAGCCTCTAACAACAGTGCAGGGATAGGGAGCTCTGATGGCCTAGTGGTGAGGAGCTGTACCGCTAACTCAGAAAGGCACGAGGTTCGAATCTACCAGCTGCTCTGCGGGAGAACGATGGGCAGTCTACAATCTCTGAGAACCCACTGGAGGGTGAGCTGTGTTGGTTTTGACCTGTATCGGTTTTGACTTGATGGTGTACAACAACAACAGGGTAGGGGCAGAGCCTAATAGGGTCCCCACTGTCCCACCGCTTTTTCTGTGTTACCGGCCTTGGGCTTTGCTGACATTAAGGCTGCTCAAAAGAAACCCCCAATTTCTAGTCTTCTTGGCAGTTGGGGTGGTTACAAGACTAAATCCTGACTGGTGGGATGGAAGTAGGAGAGTCTGTGCATCTTGGAGGAAGTGTCCTGGAGGCCAGAGCCTGCCCTTGGGCTGCCCTCACTCCTCCCCACCGGGCACAGGGCACGTGGGTGCATGGCGAGTTCAGACAGCCCCGCTGGAGCTTGAAGAGACCTTGAAAGAAAAGCTCTTCTGCTCA